CCATGGTCACTCCAGTCAGGCACAGAGGGCTCTTCCGTGTGTCCCCAGGCTGGCACAGTGGGACCCTGCTGCCAGAGCTGAGGCTGGCTGGGTCTGGGGGCTGGGCCCCAGGCACTGGGATGGGGCTTGTGTGGCCGGAGCAGGGACCACCCAGCCCAGCCCCAGCCTGGCTGCAGGGAACCCACTCTGCCTGTGGGGACCACGTACCTGTCGCTGCTGGCATCGGTCTTCATCCCAGGACCATGGCCTCCTCTTCATCTTCTTGATCAATTTCCATGTCCTCAGCGTACTCTTCCATTTCCACATCCGTCCCCTCTTCCACATCCACTTCCATCTCTTCCTCTCCGGTCTCTTCTCCATCCACATCCATCTCCTCCTCCATATCAGTCTGTGTGTCTACCTCCATTTCTTCCTCTCTGTCTGCGACAGCCTGCAGAGGTAGCAAAACCTCAGAGTGGGGTCCCTGTCCCACCCCATCCCCCCAGAACTCCAGCCCACCCGGGCAGCTGGGGGGATCCACCTCCATGGAATGGCACCGTACCTTTCTCAGGACAAAGGTGAGCATCCTGCAGGGATGGATGACACAATCCAGGCCTTCGGCAGCTATCGAAACTGATGATGGGGGTATCCGGGGGCAGGAACAAGAAGGGTGGCAGGAGCGGGCAGGAGCAGCGTGCAGGGTGTGCTGACCCCAGGGCCAACAGTTGTGTTGTGCTGCTTGCTGGCTGCTGGCAGTTCCAGGTGGGACATGGATTGTGACGTGACAGTTGAGCTAGAGAGCCTTTGGTTCCATGCTTAGCAACGTTCCCCCAGACCATGGTGCTCAGAGCCCTGTTCCCAAGGATGGGGCATCCACAGCCTGGGCCAGTGCCTCAGCAGCCTCAGTGGGAAAGAGCAGCTTCCTGAGATCCAACCTCAATCAGCCTCCTGCAGCTGAAAGCCATCGCCCCTTGTGCTGTTGCCACAGGCCCTGTTGAACACTCTGAACACTCTGTCCCAGCCTTTCTTGTGGGACCCTTGCAGTCCTGCATCAGGAACTGAGCGATGGAAGCTTTAGGCCCAGGTTTGCCTCTAAATGTACAAAATTAATAACAGTGGAGGGGAAGATGGTGGGACACTGGTTCTGCTCTAACTGGTGAATATTTTCTTTTTTTTTTTTTTCTTCTTTTCTATCATGCTGATGCAGGTTGAAATGAAGCTTGGCACAATATCCATTTTCTTCTCCATTTGTGAAACACGGAACACAGTCTGGGCAAGCTGATGTTGCAGAGGAAAATCTGCAAATGTACTGGTTATCCTGAGCCTGGAGGATGAAGTTAAAGCCAGCCAAAAGCAATTTCTGGAAAGTCAAGCCTGGTGTACATTTTCTTGAGTTTGGCTATGCCAAGTTCACCTCTCACTTATAAAAAAGCAAACAAAAAACTCAAACAAAAACAGACAAAAACCCAAAAAAACAAACCCACACAAACCAAAAAAATACATGAAAAAACCCAAATAAAACCAAAGGGAATGAGGAGTTAGTATTAGTTGTGAGGATATCACAGCAGGCAAATGGCTGCTTCCCACCATAAAAAGCCACAGAAAACAGCTGCTCCAAAATATACCCAACAGGAGAACCATAAAAGTGATACATAGCAACTTTGGGGGCAGCTCCCCATTAAGGTGAAGGATGAGCACACAGTGGTACAGCTCCAGCATTCCCCACCCTCCAGGCTGCTCTTTGCTCCTGATGAAAGACCCTTGCAGGTCTGTGGCCCCTCTCAGTGCATTATAAATCATTCCCGCAGCTCTCAGTTGAGCCACTGGCCTTTCCAGAGCGAGATCCAGGCACAATCCTACTTCCTGCTGAGCCTCTCTGGGAGATCCTGAGCATCTTCCTGCCTAGAGCCACAAAAGAGCTCAGGCTCTCCCTGATGTTGCCTTGCAAAGGACAACAGGCGACCTGGTTCTAAGAGGCAGCACGGCAGCCCGGTCTCGCCCAGGCTACTCGGGCTAACGACAAAGACGCTTGCACCAGTGTGGCGGACGGTCGAAAGCCTTTATTATCTCATCTCGTGGGTTTAAATAGTCTCGAGGGTCTTTGCTCTGTCAGAGGGGGGTTGTGGGGTCTCAGGGTTTAGTCGAGAGTGGAAAACTACTGGGGCAGGTGTGGTTACATGCTTCTGGGGTTAATAGATAATGTGGGGCAGGGAGAGGAAGGGGGGAAGGGTCTCTCTTTCCGTCACATCCCGTGATCTTCCGTTCGCCTGTCCCTACTACTACATCTCCCCTCCCCTTATCATATATAAAATGAGGTAGTCGTAGATATAGGCACTGGAGTGAGGTACAAACTTGTGACTTGTTAAGGAAAGGGTGGTTTGGTAAATCTGAGTAATTTTTTCAAGGCAGGTCTTGAAGGCTTTAGCGACTGACTGTGTTTGCAGTTTTTGGTTTACAGAATTTGTTGGTGGCCTATGAACAAAATGTTTGCCCTTTCTAGACGGGCCTGAACAAACGAGACTAGTTTGTTCAGCAGGCATGGTCCTATGGTAACAGCTAAAAGCAGTATTGCCAGTGGACCTACCAGGGCGGAAATTAAAGTGGTGAGCCAAGGTGATTGATTGAACCAGGATTCAAACCAGCTCTGTTGGGTTTCCCTGTCTCTCTTTCTCTGAGCCAGTCTGTCTCGGAGTTCTGCCATGGAGACTTTAACGACTCCCGTATGATCTGCATAAAAGCAGCACTCCTCCTTCAGGGCTGCACACAGTCCTCCCTGCTGCATGAACAAAAGGTCCAGACCCCGCCTATTTTGTAAAACCACTTCTGAAAGCGAAGAGACTGATTTCTCTAGATAGGAGATGGATTTCTCAATCCTCTGCAGGTCCTCGTCGATGGTCATTTGCAGCTGAGAGAGTCCGTGCTGCTGGGGTGCGATGGCTGAGACACCCGTGGCTGTGCCAGCTGCTCCCAGGCTAAGCAGCATTGCGATAGTTATCAGGTTTCTTGAGAAGGTGGTATGTCTCTTCGTCTGAGTGGTACAGGACCCTGGGGACAATCAGAACTTGAACACAGAAATCGGTAGAGTCATTAAATTTGGCAAGGAACATATAAGGATTCACTCTGGGTCTCTGGCAAACTTATATCCCAGATGCAGATGGGATCACACACTTATTGGTCCTCTGCGGGGAGTGTCCCATCTGCACTGGTAAGGGGCACTGGCTGTGGAGTAACTGAAGGGGGTGTCTAAAGCAATGCTTTCATAGAAAGGGGGTTTAACATCATAGCAAAACTAATAGGGGTTAGTCAGGTTCGATTTGGTTTCATTTAGGGTTAGTAAGGTAGCTTCTAAACAGGTTGGCTATGTGGAACACAAAGGATGGGGTGTTTGCTGTGGTGATCTCTTTGAACACCTTGTCACTTGAAAGATGTTACATGACCCACTTAAATGGCTGATGAGGGTAGTGGCCTGGGTCAGCTTGCCCTCTGGCCACAAGCCTCTAACAGCAGAATCGCACAAAGACACTGTGCATGTCTGGGTCTCACCGCCGTGGGATTTTCAGGCTTTGTCTGGCGGTTTGGTGGTCTGTTATCTCTCTGGAG